AGACCCCTAAACCCTAAACCCTAAAACACCACCCTCAGACATCTTGATGAACGCCCCCGGAACAGCATCTTAGATGGTTTCCTTCTTTGCACACGAGGTGTTTTTTCTCTCGGATGCTGTGGCGAAGCCGCCGAAGCAAGGCAATGCCAGGGCAAATCTCCCACAGGATCCGTGCCTGAAGGGTTCCTGTAAGGCGTTCCGGGGTTCTTTTATGGGGTTCCTTCAAGGGTTCTAGAATGATCGCTTCTTTTTTGTTTCTGTTTTAGGGAGCCTACTGTCTGCGGGTATGCAGGTACTTAGAACCCTCTAGGTCATCTACAGTCACAGTTTCGGCAAGGGCTGGAGGAGCCTCAACCGCTTCAAGATGCCACTTGACCAAGCCGAAGGGTCGACTCTAGCGCTCAACCGTACCCCAAACCCTGAAGCCCTAAATCCCTAAACCCTCAAACCCTCAAACCCTAAAACCCTAAAGCCCTAACCCCTAAGTCCCTAAACCTTAACCCCCTGCTCCTCACGTGTTGCATCATGCAGGCCCGCAATGTTACGCGCAGAGCTCTGATCTGCACTGTGGCGACTTCGGTCTTGGTGAGCGCTTCGATCGGCAAGCACCTCGAGCGTGCCAAAGGGTCTAAAGTACCTGTTTAGGGTAGAATGTAGGTTCTTTAGGGGTTCCATTAAGGGTTTAGGGTTCCTCGAAGGGTTCCTATAGTAAGTACCTATTTCGGAGAATGTGGGTTTTTACATATTCGGATATTTGGAATTACTTTTATGATGTGGGGAAGTATTCCCCATAAGCAGTACCTGGAGTTTTTGGGGAATGCACTTTCGACGACCGCAGATCTTTGTCCAGCTTTTGTACTTACGGTTCGATTGCGACTAGTTCGATATCTCAATTTTGCAAACTTCCCTAGGGGTCGAAAGGACCCAAAACTTGGTACTTGGGCTTACATTAGTTAGGCAGGTCACTATTCCGGGGTGTCTTGATTCTTGGGTACTTGAACCCTAAGGGTTTCCTAAATGCCATAAAGCCTAAACCCTAAACCCTAAAGCCTAAAGCCCCGAATCCCTAAACTTGAAACCCCAGAGGGCGGTCCATTTACCCAAATAGGGTCCTTTGAGGGTTGGTTTGAGGGTCCCCTTAAGGGTTTCCTTTAACGGTTTAGGGTGTAAGGGTCCATGTACCCCGATAGCATATGCTTTCGCCTTAAAGCAGGCTCTACTTAGGTACTGCAGTAGGGCAAGGGTAAATACTATCTGAGCACAGGGACCTCAGGGCAACCAAAGCAGGACATGCCCGTTACATGCGTTCCCTATAGTGCCTCTTAACAAACCGTCTATGCCCATCACTCTTCTGAGTGTATACCGTCTAGGTTGTTTACATCTTTGCGGGTTCTGTTCTTGGCAATTAAAGGAATCGCAAAGGATCTGTATAGGGAGTTTCTCGGGGGATCAGGTAGATGCCCCAGATAGCTGGGAGTCCCTTTCCCAGGGGCAAGATACCTCCAATACGGATCTTGCTATGTAGGCTTCCGTATTCAACTTGTATGTTGGAGGCATGCTGGTACCGTAGTTTGGGGATTAGGAGCATCGCCGTGCACCTCCACCTTCAATCCCACACCCTATACACCCTAACCTCCTAAACCCCTGTTTAAACCGCTATATAGCATAAACCCTGCGAAAGTGAACACGGCCCTTATGGAAGACACATTCTAAAGGAGCCCGTCAAGGTACCCTATATACGTCCGCGATCTTCGAAGTATACCTTAAACAGGGTTGCTTATTACGGGCTTAGGGGTTTAGGGGTTTAGGGTTCAGGGGCTTAAGGGTTTAGGGTTTAAGGTTTAGGGTCCCAGCCACCTTGTGGTGGCGTATATACGTCCTTAAAAAGGTAGGTTCTTCAGGGTCCAGGTAGACCTCAAACCTTTAAGCCACCCGAATACCCCTGGTTCCTCAAAAGCATTGTTTACAACATATGCCACCATTTTGTCAAGCTTTTATCGCTTTAACTTCTAAACGCAAAAGAAACCCTTGGACGACCATAGAGCACCCCACAGAAAAAACAGAAAAAACCTGCGACACCTTCGAAACCATAGGAAGCACCGCAAAAGAACAACTTATATAGCTCTGGAAACCATAGAAAGCTCCATAGGGAATAAAATGATGTGAAACTTTGGGGCACCACAGACAGCCTCATACACCCCGTATCACCACGGAAAGCGTAAACGCAAAGTTACCAACAAAGTGTCTCAGGTGTCCATCGCCGACTGGCTATGAGGCATCGACATGGGGTCTGTGGGCCCAAAGGATCCTATATATGGTACGGTTGATGATATAAATCCTGCATTACCTTAAGGACCCTAAACTATGGGAATTATGGTATATTCCCTATTATGGGTCATGCAGGATTTATATCATCAACAGTAGAATGTAGGGTTTGTATGAGATTGCAATTATGGTTTGGGGAAAGGTTCCCCGCAATACATAGGACCCTTTGGGGGCTGAGGGGTTGGAGCTTGGATGTGTAGGCAGCTTCGAATCCCCAGTGGAGCTCTGCACATTGACTTCCACGGGGCTCCTATATTGGGGCTTTTGGGACACGGTATAGTGTAAACCATATAGTCACATAGAGCCTGTGGGAAGAGCAGCTTTGCATCTTAAAGTTGATCGTTACTCCGCAGAGTAGATGCGATCCTCGTCTAAGCCAATTTCCTCGAAATCTGAGCTCATGCAGACTATGTCAAAGTTCACCGTGGTTTGCGAGACTGTGTTATGTCAATATCGTCTATAGACAGTATCGTACGGTACTGTATGATAGACGCAGTACCGTTGTTCCTTCTCCGCGAAGCTCGGGCTCCAACAGGCTTCAAGTGCTTTGCTGAATCCCAACTTTTTGGAAAGAGATGGCATCTTGGATGCTGCTGCTGCTGCTGCTGTAGACCCATAACAGCGCCGTCAGGTGACAGCACCGGGTCAACTCGCGCGTCGATCTTGCATGCAGGGCTTTTAACAGTTAGGCTATACATGTCTTAGCAAAGCTACCGGCTGTACGTGTAGTGATGACGTGTCTGATCACAAGTGTAAGTGTTCACACCTTGGAGAACTGCACAGTAAGGGGTCGGAGCCCGGTTCTGGAAGAAAAGAGGAAAGCGGAGGAGCTGGGGCGGGCCGAGGGGGGCAAAGCGAAGGGCGGGACGTGAGACGATGGAGGAAGCCCAATGAAAGGGGCATCTAGACTGAATGATCGAGAGACAGCGGTGACGACGACCGACCCTGACAACGTCAGAAGACGCGGGCCAAGCATGCGCCAGAAGGCGTCAGTGTTGTTGTGTTGTCACGGTGTGATGGGTGAAGGTGTACCGTAACATGACGTAGCAAGGAACATCGTAAAGGACAGTTGCGACCGGCGAGAACACGGGGAACGAGAACACAGAAAACATGTCTGACACGTACGATGGCCCTTTGAGCGCCAGAGGACGCGGGCTCGAGTGGCGCCAGAGGACCCTTGTGCTTGCGCCAGAGGACGCTTGCACTGTGTGTGTGTGTGTGTTTCAGCGAGAAACACGTAAGAAAACAGGCAAAACGGAGCCAGCCATCGTGTGGTGTGTGGCACGTGTGTCGCTAGATTGGTGCCTTCGCGTGTGTGATCTGAGAAACCTTCGTGGAAAGCCGGTGTGTACGGGTGAAAAGCTAGTAGCCTCCTGTCCGTTTGAGCCCTGTGAGCAGATGCGTAAGCAACTTGTGCGAGTTCTGTCAGGCGTGAAAAAAGCCGAGCCGGGTTAAACCCACCAGATTAATTGGAATGTCGGCGCCCACCCGCCATCCCCGGACAAGATGACACAAGACAGGAAGACCAAATGCCCCCGAGGGGACATAGGTCCAACGCCTGACTTGCGATATGTCATCATGCCCGTTTGCATCTCGTCCTCCCCGAAGGGAGCGCCCCGTGTGGGGAATGACGTTAGCCCCGCGCGAGTGCGTGTTATGAATGTGTATCGAGAAGAAAGCGTAAATTCACGCACTTTTGGTCAGGGACCTTGACCACGATCCAAAACGAGTCGAGAAAACGGAGAGGCTAACGAAGCGTCGAACGAAAGAGACGAAATGAGACGAGACCGCCAGCGTAAGAGCCTATGGGACCGTGGCACTGTCGAGAGGGACAGGTCACGATGGGTAATGAGCGCGGGTTTCCAGGGGGCACCACGTGGAGGTTTGATGCATGCCGAAGGTTCCTAGCCTGATCGGAACCTCCCCCGTTGCGTCCCGTGTGTCGGTCGGTTCTGCATGCTCACACTCTGCTGTACCAAAAGAGCAGGCACCGTCCTATGCATACACTCTCTTTTGCGCTGCAACGGGCAACAGAGCGGTTAGCCGAAGGTGTTGTTCGTTTAAAGTCGAACCAGCCTTTTGCCGGGGCGGTTCGCTCCCTTCGGGCATTGGAAAAGCCTCTGCCGCCAAGGCCCGAAGACCAGGGAGGGCGGGAGGGCCAAACTTCAACTGAGCCGAAAAGTCTTGAGACACATCGGCTCATTCACTTGCAGAACTCTATGTTATCACTAACGAGCAAGTTCTGCATGCTCACACTCTGCTGTACCAAAAGAGCAGGCACCGTCCTATGCATACACTCTCTTTTGCGCTGCAACGGGCAACAGAGCGGTTAGCCGAAGGTGTTGTTCGTTTAAAGCCGAACACGCCATAGTCGGGGCGGTTCGCTCCCTTCGGGCATTGGAAAAGCCTCTGCCGCCTTATCTAAATACTTTGCAGCGAGTGTATGCAGGAGTTCGGTTCCTTAAGAGACAGGGCAAGGGGGGGCAGCACGAAAACCCGACTGTTTCCGGACCCATCCGTCGTCTTCCGCTGTCTGAGGCTTTGCCTCACTCACAAACAACTTGCAAGAAACAGGGCGGATCGCCACACCGCCTACTGTACATCGGAGCCTTTGGCTCCCATTCTGGCGGAACGCCTGTGCACAGGGCTTATAACCCGAAAAGCTCTGCAGAGCTTTAAAGATGAAAACCGTCCACCGCGGAACTTTGTGCTGAATCATCAGCCGGTAAATCGTTCCCAGCTGGGGCGGTGTCACCTGCAGCATCACCTCCCTCAGGCGTTGTAGAAGGAGCTGAGGGTTGGGCTCCCGGCTGATCGTCACCTTGGTCCGGAGGCACTGGCCGCCCAGCTTCTCGATCTTCCGGCTGATCGGAACGAGGTGGGGGAGGTTCTGGCCGCCCGTCCGCGGTTGTACCCGATGGTGCAGAAGAGGTTCCCGACGGGGTGCTCGCTGTAGTGCCAGTATGAGGTGGTACACCTGGGGGGGGGGGAGCACCTGCGGATTTGGAAGCGGTTGTGGGCTCCGCTCTCTCTGCATCCGCATTGACTCTCGCCTCCAAGTAATCGAGGAATTGCTCCATTGTTTAGCAATCCCCCACCTCCTCCTGGGTCCAGGTGACTCCCCGCCTTTCAAGTCTCTCCAATCTGTTGAGGAGATAAAGGCGATGGGAGCGGCCCAAGCTCATCATGGGCGGTAGCGCCCTCACCCTCTGCAGGGGGGTGGCACGGGGCTGTAACGCCGTAACGCCACATTGCCCTGGGCCACCTGGTGTTGTACGGCACGAAGTCGGGAGCGATGGCGTTGAAACGCCACTGCCGTGGATACACCTGCCTCCAAATCGGCCAGGTACTTGGGGTCGTTGCGAGCAGTGTCGTTGGATGCCCTCACCTTGACATTGCTGGACCCCCCTTTACCCTTCTGCCCTCGTAGCTGGGCGGTGCGCCTGATGGTATCGGCCAAAAGCCCTCCCATCACGGCACTCGAGCTGTTCGCGAGGTTTTCCAGGAGTGCCCGCTGCTGGCCGGCGTTGAGGCCTCTCATCCTTTGCTCCAGGTCCGCGCATTCTCGTTCGAGCCGGGCAACTTCCTCGAGCTCCTCTTTGTTGAGGACGACATCATCCTCCGGTTCCTCGTCATCAGATACCACGCATTGCTCCCTGTCACGGTTGCACATGGTGCAAATCGTGCGGGTGATTGGCACCCCATAGGAGCACCTTTTGCAGTACCAGTGCGTGGCTCTCTTGCCAGCGTTCCCGGAGCCTTTGCCACTCGGCGTCGAACTCGGGGCGGAGGCACCCTTATACTGCCATCTGCAGGCGGTACGCCCTCATCTGGCGGAACTGCCGGCCCATTGCCCAAGATCTGCATAGCCCACCGGCCCATAACATTCTGGGCTTGGTCCGCTTCCGCATAGGTCTCTGCAAGCGGGAGCAGGCGGAGCGGGGCCGGGTAAATGCAGGGTAGGGCGGCACGGCCTGGGCGAGGTGGCCCCTCATTCCCCCCGTAATGTTGACCAAGGCTGGGGTTCCTCAGGAAGTCCTGAAAGGTGAACAGGGGGCGATGGTCTCCGGTCGCAGGGCTGAGGGGCGGTAGATCGCCTTGAGGTTCCGGATGTGCCTCCTGTAGGTCCATAAAGCATGGATTGTCCCGATTTGCAAGATGGATCCGGGACATGTGGCCTCGGCGGTGCGCCCAGTGCAGGATATCTTGTGCCACTCGACGGATGAAGATCACTCCCACGCGCCCCCATGACTGCAACCCGCATAGGGCCCTGCGGCACATGACCAAGATGGTCCAAGGCAGAGCCAGTCTGGGGTCGACTCGTCAAGCTCGCGCACAGTGAGAACCACAGGGCCTCTCCGTTCGGTGCCACAATCGCCATAGGACGGCTTTCCTCTGTGGGGCCCCTGGCCTTCTTCGGAGCTGGCCCTTGGGGCGGGTCGACCACAGGCTGAAGGCCACCAGACGCCGGTGGTGGTGCGCCCACAAGAGCGAAGTTCCCGAAGCATAGCTTTTCGGGGTGGCTGGAGTAGGGGGCAGAGGTCCCTCGGGCAGTGCGCCCATACCCTTACCTTTTCCAAGGCCTTTCTTGGCGAAGTAGACGGACTTCGGCTCCGGCAGGCTGGGGGCGGTGCGGCTGTAGCGGCAGAGGGCGGTGACGCCTTCCTCTTCCATCTGCTCGTCCTCATCCAAGCCAGACAAAGGGCCTCCCAAACAGGCCCCAGTCCGAAATGACTCCCAGGCTTTGGCGGATGCCTTTCCGCTGTGCCCGGCGATTGAGCACAACAGGGGCTGTGGACGCCCTCGGGTGCACCAGCAGGTCGTCGGGGGCAGGGCCGTTATTGATGAGAGACCCATGTCTTGGCCGCCAGCATCCACATCCAGAACACTGGTTCGCTTTGATGGTCGTCTCATCCTGGCAGTTCCTGGCAGTCGGGGCATATCCAGTGTGTCGCCCTCTCCTGCAGCGTGTCGAGAGCGACGGCACCCATTGCAGCCATACCGATGAAGCCCATTAGGTTCTCCACAGCCTCCACAGATCCACCGCATCGTGTTGTCAAACGTGGAGGGCGGCGGCGCCTTGGTGGGGAGAGTCTCCTTATTCGGAGGTGGTGGAGCAGCCTTCTTAGGTGGAGGCGCCGAGGACGTGCTGCTGGGACGTGCCTTCGGTGGGGCCTTGTAGGGCTTCCGATGCTGGAAAAATGCAGCCGACTTGAGCTCGGCGGGGGGGGGGAGGCGGCGCTTCCTTGGCCCAGCTGACGAAAAAGCTTCCCCACTCCCATGAGGTCCATGAGGAGGTTCCTGCCATACGGGCCTTTGGAAGCCCCCTTTTGCTGTCGGCGGTACCGGTAGGGAGGCCCCTTTTGCAGCACCTCAGCACACGTCCACAGCGGATGCGAGGGTACCTATCGATCTCCGGGCCAGAGGACTCAGTGTCAGGACCGCCACTGGAAAACTCCTCGCTGCTGGTGTCGTAGAAAGAGGTACCCCAGCGACCTTTGTCCTTGCCCTTGGCAGAGCCAGCTCTGTGGCGAGGCTTTTGGCGGAGGCCTGATTCCACCATCCATGATGGGGGGCGGTGCCGCTTGACCCTCCATCTCATGCCGCGTTCGACGGGGGCGGAACCGTCCCCCGTCCCCCCAGTACCAACTCCCAGGCCCAGGATATTGTCATGGAGAATCCTGAGGCTCGGGTTGAGGAGGATCTCCTTGGCTGCCCGGGGCGAGGCCGAGGAAATCCCATGCACTGCCCCATTCCTGGATCCACTCTCGAAGTTGGCGATTGCCCATACCGGTTGGCGGAGCAGCTTCGGCCATGCTGAGAGCAGAAGGAGAGGCGGTGCGCCGGGGAGAGCGGAACGCTTGCTGGAGCAAAGAAAGCAGCTCGGGAGACACACGTGAACCAGGTCTCTGCGGGGCAATAGGCTGTTGGTTTCATGCAACGCGACCGACGACGAACTCTCAGAGGTCCTACTGGGCCCAGCTTGAGGAGGGAGGAGCCATTCGGGGGTACCTCCATACCTAAAAAGGAAGGGGGGGATCAACAATTCCGCCTGCTTCCAATTGCCTACGGAGCCTGACTCTCTGAATGAAGGTGAGTCCGGTGGTTCTTTCGAGGTGCTCAAGATGCGCTTGGCTAGTGGCCCAATTTTCATCGAATCCCTCATCGGAGCCCTCCGCGCTACCACTTTCACTGGAAGGGCCCCCAGCTCTCGTTCATACAAGAGTGCCCGCTAGGGTGCATATACTGCTGCGGTTGGAGCACCGGGCGGGACGCCAGCATGTCTTTGGACCGACTGGGAGCAGCAGCAAAGATGCCTATGCCTTGCCAAGCGCAAACAGGGAGACTAACGTCGCTTACCCAAAAAGGGTTATGCTTAGCGTGTTCCTGCAAGGCCCGGACAGGACAGATGTCCTCGCCAGTGGCGTGCTGGAGCCTAACCTGTCCCCTTCCGAACTGGTCCCCTTTAGAATCCCTTAGCTGCACGGCAACAGAGTCAGCTTCAAACACGGAACAGCGTTGCCCCTTGCAGAAGAAGTCAATGTCGCTGCCTCGGAGGACCCGAGTGGGAACATTGCAAAGATCCGAGCCGGGGAGGTACCCCGAAGCTCGCAGCATGAAGAACCAACCTAGGCAGATCGAGGTAAAGAGCTTTCCGTTCCGCGAGAGGGCGGTCCGACCCGTCAAGATACCGCTTCAACCAAGTGAACATGCCAGGGGTAACGGGGACCTTACGGACTGGGGCCCCGTCCCAGTGGTTCATCCCAGCGAGTGCTGCCCAAAGCCTGACTCGGCCTGTTAAGGGGTCCTGGTAGCCGGCTGCTATGTGCGCGTACCGGATCCCTGACAGCCGCTGCTTGATGCCTTGGGCGGTGCGGCCCATCACCTGATGCAGGAAAACAGTAAAGCGGATCAACCAATCCTCGTCTCGTTGCTTCTCCATCCGAGACTCCCCTTGCAAGAAGGGTGACACCCCCGTGCCAGACATGAAAGCTGCCCATTGCTTCCACCCCGTGTTATAGGAGCGCCTGGTAGAGTCAGCGAGTTTGCTGAGAAACAGCCTCCTGCCCCACCTGGTCAAGAAAAGAGACCCCGCTGCCTAGGGGTAAGCCGCGAGTCCTGAAGAACCTTTCCCTCTCGTCGCCCAGTAGGACTGGGGTTTAATGAGCGATGGGCTGGATCAGCCTTCCTCTTAACAGGGCCCCCTACTCGGGTGTCCTCAG